TATTGAAGATACGGATCATATCCGATCCCNACAATCACGGAGTACATATTTCATAAGATCAATTCAGTTGTAAATGGCAATCTCGTAGGATTTGTTTGTTTAAACCATAAGATATTCTCCTTGTATTATAAAAGGATGTACGCTGAATGAGAAAGACAAATAAATCTTTTCCAATCTTCTTTTCTTCTCTGTTCCATTACAAAAGTCTAGTGTGCTCGCCGAGAGAGAATGATTATCGGCGAGATGTAAGCTATTCAACCCTGGTTTAGCTGAACTCGTAAAATCTCGTGTGCTCCCTACTTTACTTTATGCTCTGATTCAATTCTGCATCCTTCAAATCAGTTCCAAAGCATAGTTGTGTGCTCAAAAGCTAAGATACCTTGTGTCTTTGACAGGGTAAAATCTCACAATATCCACAAAAAGGCTTCCAATAGTTGGAAGATATTGCATTTCTCATTAGGAATATAATAATGGTAACAAGGATAAGATTTCACCAACAACTTTTTTTTTTGTTTATCAAAATCGCAATATACACGCGATCCACAATTACGTTGGAAGGCCAGATATTTTCACGTAACGTTTTGCATTGTATATTTTACTTATAACATTTTCGACGATATTTTGATAACAAAAAATTACACAAAAAGTGAGGGGAAGAACCAGTTCGAAACCTTTGATCAGTATACGATAAAATAAGAAAATACAAATCATGCCTCGTTTCTGTTGATTTCAATTCTACGAGGTTTTATTCCAATAAAACAAAATATAAGTATTACGAGTCGCAAGAAGGGTATTTGTCGCTGAAGAACCGAGCAAAAACCTTGTTTTCAAGAACCTCTAAGGCTTTAGAAGAGTTTATGCATAAAGGTGTTTTGTATTGATTTATTGAAGCACCTCGAGAGATGAAGAAATCCATGAGAGATCCAAACGTTCCTTGTTGTACCACCTTTATCTCAAGAGCTCCAATTGATCTTGATTTACATCTATACATTCTATAAAGAATGTTAAGTGATTCCTCTACTACACAACAACATTCCACCAATACCTTGTTATCAAGCTCGACAAGACCATTGATGTATTTGGATTTAAGCTCCCAATACATAACATAATGACCTGGAAGAGTGGATAAATCTGACCAACATGTGAAGCCCATCAACATTAGATTCGAAGATTCAAGAACGAGTGTAGCTTGAGTTGCTGCTTTTAAAATGTCTTCTTCAGTTGTTGCCTCCAATTGGACGCTTATAACCATATTTTTTCTACGCACGAATTTGAACTGAGGTGCACTATTGTAAAAGCCAGTCACTTGTAGAACATCTCCCATTTTGTATCTATGTAAACCTAGAATAACAAATAAAAGATTTAACTTTGATTAG